GAGTGTGCCATGCTTTGTATGTCGAGCCATGGGAGGAGTCTGAGACGGTTGACTTCCGCTACCACTTGGAGCATTGGGCTGAGATAAAACATCAACGTGCCCAAGGGACAATAAAGCTGATCTTCTTCAAACTTCTCATAAACCAATGCTATCTCCGTGTTTTGATTGATTGTGGTGCGACTACTAACTTTATGTCACCACACGCGCTACGCAAAGTGGGCTTGGGAATGAAGCAAGTGGCTTTGCAGAACCCTCGTCGGACCCAAGTATCAACAAGGAAGTTGTCTCCTCAAAGCATGCAGTCAAAGGTGTGCGCACTACCTTTGACAAAAACAAAACCGTCACCCACGCTTTGAACTTCTATGTCCTTGATAAGTGTCTCTTCGACACTGTCCTTGGCTTGGGCTAGCTGCAGTCCCAATGCGAATGGACCAAGTGGAAGGAGCCACTTTTCATGGTCAAAGACGCTCAAGGGAACGAGCTTCCCGTCCTCTTGGATGAGAAGCATGAGTCCCCAGTGACTTTTTTGAACGGCATAAATTTGCAAGAAATGGCGCAAGCACAAGGAGGACGAACAATTGTATGTTGCCTTTGTTCGCCCTGCTCATGTGCCACCTACTTTTGCGGCTAGTACCAATACTACTTTATCTAGTGATTCTACTTCTAGCCCATCTATCTACCCCTAATCTAAATGATTCTACTTCAGATTCGGTTGCCTCTATTCGCAACATGCGACCTGATCTAGGTGACCCTTTTGCTGACCCTTCACCCCCACCGCTCCCAACCAACATCCAAAACCTACTTGATCGGTTCCCAGCAGTTCTGGCCGAACCACGTGGAGTTCCCACGCGATCGGTCCTACACACCATCGAGTTGGTCGAAGGTGTTGTTCCTTCAAAGAGCTGCGTATACCGAATGGGATCCGGTGAGTTGGAGAAACTCAGGTGGCAGATGGATGAAATGATTGACAAAGGTTGGATCAAGCCTAGTGAGTCTGAGTTTGGTGCCCCTGTTTTGTTTGTCCCGAAGAAAGGAGGCAAGCTCTGTATGTGTATTGACTATCGCGGTCTAAACCGCATCACAAGAAAAAAACGCCTATCCATTGCCTCGCATAGAGTGCTTGATGCTGCAGGTGAGTGCAAGATCTTTTCCAAGATCGACCGCAAGTCTGGCTATCACCAGATTGAACTCGATCCTGCGGACCAGCACAAGACTGCGTTCAAAACACGTGATGGGCTTTACGAGTTTACCGTAATGCCCTTCGGTCTCACGAACGCACCGGCCACCTTTCAAAACCTCATGGACAAGGTCCTCCGCGAACAGATTGGCCGGTTCGTGGTAGTATACCTTAATGACATACCGATCTTTAACAAATCCATGGAGGAACACATAACGCACCTTGAGGAAGTGTTCACCATCCTCAAGAAGATGCAACTCCATCTCAACTTGTCGAAATCTGAGTTTGGGAGGGATCGCATCATCTATCCTGGGCATCGGTTGTCTGCTGCAGGCCTAGAGCCTGAGGCAACCAAGGTTGAGGTCATACGCAATTGGCCTCAACCCGCGAACATCGGTGAACTGCACTCTTTCCTTGGTCTCGCGTCATACTACCGAAAGTTTGTGTCCCGCTTCTCTATTGTTGCTCGCCTGTTGTCCCGGTTAACAAGTAAGAATGTTCCTTATGCTTGGGATACCGCATGCGAGGACGCCTTTCAAGCTTTAAAAGAAGCTCTAGTAAGTTACCCTGTACTCCGCATTCGTAGTTACAACACATGCAAGCCAGTATGGAATTGGCGCAATGCTGCAGCAAGATGATGGCTATGGCTTGCGGCCGCTTGAATTCTACAGCAAACTCATGCCCAACGAAAAGGTAGCCACTTCCACCTACATGCGCGAACTTTATGCTTTGTGTATAGACTTGGACAATTGGAAGCACTATCTTTTGGGAAACCACTTCAAAGTGTTCTCAGATCATGAGACTCTGAAGTGGATCAAAGAGCAAACTACCTTGTCCCCTACTTTACTTCGCTGGTTCCATGAAATTGACATTTTTGACTTTGAATTAAGACACAAAAAGGGCTGCTATAATCGAGTTGCTGATGCATTGTCTGACCACCCTGAGTACATGATTTGCCTTGTGAATTCCTACGGCCTCCGAAGAAACTGAAGGAGGAGATCGTAACGCACACTGCCAAGGATCCGAACCTTAGTCCCATCCTTGAGCAGCTGCGGGCTAACCCCAGCAGTCAGCCTGATTTTCATGAGTATGGAGGACTGATGGAGGACTGATGGAGGACTGATTTTCCGTCGCTACAGGAACCACGACCGTTTGTGTGTGCCCAACCATGAGCCTCTCCGCACACACTTTCTGGACGTGGCTCATAGCCGGAGTGGACACTTCGGCATGGCAAAGACATACGGGAACCTATTGAGACAATTTGATTGGTCTGGCATGAAGGGATCTGCTGAAAGGTTTGTGGCTGAATATCAAGTTTGTCAACGAATCAAACTATGTAGACAAAAGCCCATAGGGCTACTTACACCCCTTCCCATTCCCAATGGACCCGGGGAGTCCACCTCCATCGACTTCACCAACATGAGAAAGGTAAGTAAGAACGGCTATTTGCAAGTCATGGTGATTGTTGACCGCTTCTCTAAATTTCTGAATCTGATTCCTTTGCCATCTCACGCCCCAACTGAATTGGTGATCCGTGAGTTCGAACAGAAGTACATTATGCACTTGGAAACCCCGAAAACTCTTGTGAACTCGCGCTTCATAAGTACCGAATGGAAGGACTTCACGTCCCAACTCCCTGGAATCAGACTATGCATGACATCTGGCAGACATCCTGAAGCCAATGGTTTGGCTGAGGAAATCAACCAGACTCTATTCCGACTTCTTCGCGCTGTAATTATTATGGATCAGGAGATGTGGGTTGTATTCCGTCAAAGGGTCGTACAACAACTCCATTCACTCTTCCACCGGCATGACGCCCAATAGGCTGCATTACGGCTGGCAGATTTGAAATCCGCTCTCCTACCTGTTCCTTGAACAGCCAGCTGGTTTAACACCCGGTAGGCCTGGCTTCAGGGCCAAGTACGATCGCTTGCTCAAAGTTGTCATTGCAGCAATGACCAAGCGACAGCACGCAATGATCCATCATGCAAACAAGAAGCGTCGACCTTCGGATATCGAAGTAGGAAGTTATGCCTGGGTGAAAATGTCTGAATTATCAGAGGAAGAGGGAGTCTCACACAAACTACTGCCGCTCTACTATGGTCCATGGGAAGTTTTGGATGTGATTGGCAAGGATGG